TGGGTCAGTCGGTTAAGCATCTGCATTTGGCTCAGGTCATGGTCTCAGGGTCCTGGGATGAAGTCCTGCACTGGGCTCCCTGCTCAGTTGGGAGTCTGCTTCCCCCTCTCCTCTCCCAGCCCCCCATGCCTCTCTCTCTCAAATAAATAAAATCTTTAAAAAAAAAAAAAAGAATAATCTCAGAACTGTATGGAAACTTTCATCAGCACATTTATTATATATAAATCTATTCCACAATTCTCCAATTTAAATACTTTTAGAGAATATTCAATATTTTTAATTGTATATGTAATCAAATAAAGAACCAGAAATCTCATCCTACAAATACTTATCCATAAACCTACAGACTTTCCTAATAGGATATCTGAACTGTAAAAATACATAGAAGTGACTATATCTACCTAACATTTTTATTTATGATAACCCATTTTCTAATTTATTTTTATATTTTTTCATATGTACTCTCTCTATATATTGCTTACTCAAACTTTGTTGAGTGCCTGCTACTACTCTACACTAGAGTAGGTGCCAAAAATATTAAAATTAATAACAGCACATTTGCCTAGGTTCAAGAAATTCACATTTTAGTAGGGGAAGATAAACATTCAATAAATAAATGTAATAACTGAGTTGTTACAGATATAATGTGCAGTAAACAGGGGAGACAAAGGAGGGGCCAGTCAGTTTTGAGGGAAGGGGAGGATTCAAGGAAAGGATTCATTAAACAAGGGGATACCTAAGCCGGGCCTTTGAAGATCAAATGTGTTCACCAGGCAGGTGAGAGGGAAAGAGTATTTCAGGCATAGGTAGTCGCCTAAGGAAAGATTTAAAGGAGTGAAACAGTGTGGCGAGTTCAGGAAGCCAAAGTCGCTGACTAACACTGAGGGGGCAGGGAAAAAGACTCACAGGGAGACCATGTGATGAAAGATGAGGCTGGAGCAGCAGGGCAAGGCACACCACCCAAGATCTGAAGGGTCCTCCCCTGCATCAAAGTGCTGCATCCCACAAGTCAGCAAAAACAACAGGCCTCTCATTATCTCAATACAGGGGATTTCTCTCTGAAGTTCCAGGCCCTGCCATGCCCCAGGGGCGGGCATGCCTTCAGACAGCAGCAAACACTGTGCCATTTACAGGTGTATAAGCTGTAGTGAAGGTTAAGAGGAAAAAGTACCTAAAACGTAGAAACTAAGGAAAAGGCAGGTGAAACGTCACAAAGAATGCTGTGCTTCAGTTTAGTCATTAGGAAAAATAAAGGTCTTACGGTGTATCCCTGACAACTGTTTGTGTTGGGGGAAAGGCCATAAAGGAACATGATACATTTGAAGAATTATGGCTGAGTGGGGCAGAGAAGTAAGGTAAGGTTGAAAAGGTGGCAGTGAAAACTGTACAGATTCCTAATAATGTAGAAAATACATCTAAGAAAATTCTACAGGCCTGAACCACTTTCTGGTCACCTTCCTGTCTGGGACCCACTCTATAAATACTGCCCACCATTTGCCAGGCAAGCGCTCTAACTATTTAAAGGTGAATAAAATACAGCTCCTGCTTTTGTGAAGATTACAATCCAGTAGAATTCAGATTTATACCGGACTTCTACAAGCACATATCCATGAACTCTCTTTATCCTCCCCGCTTGTGAAGCAGAGAGGACAACTGCTAATACCGCTCCTCTAAATGGAAGAGAATCATGGACAGACACACAGATCAGTGTTCTGTGCCAGCGGTTCCCAATGGTGGTGTCGCCACCCAGCGCTACTGCAGTCAGCTGTAAGGTGGGCTGAATGCAATCTGTCACGAATAATAAAGCATGAGTGGTCTAGCTCTTTGTCTATATAAATTAAAGCATCTAATCTAGAAACAGGTATTTCAAGAGGAGCATACAGGCACCTTAGTGTGTACTACTAAAAACCACCTCTATTGAGGCATGAATAAGTACATTATACAGTAATATGAGGGAATACCCTCCAGCTGTTTGGGTTTTTTTTAAGTGGAATAAGACATCCAAACAATTAAATGGAAAGACCTTTAAGACTCTAATGAATGAAAAAAGAAAGATGCAGAATCCATGTATAAGAATACACTTTGTTGTTAGAAAAAAGAAAAGACATAAAAATAGATTTTAAAAAACATTATTATATGAATGCATAGGAAAGGTTCTGAAAGATAAACACACACTAACTGGGCGCCTGATGGCTCAGTCGGTTCAGCGTCTGCCTTCGGCTCAGGTCATGATGCCAGGGTCCTGGAATTAAGTCCCGAGACCTCAGGCTCCCTGCTCATCAGGGAGTCTGCTTCTCCATCTCCCTCTGCCCCTTCCCCCCACTCATGCTCTCTCTCGCCTTCCCAAATAAATTAACTAATTAAAAAAGAAAAAGAACACATGCTAATTATTTTGGAGAGGGAGCTAGGTAAAGGGACACATGGATTGAAGACGATCCATCAGAATACATTCTGATACATGGATGGGAGAGTAAGAGTAGAATAATTTGAAAGTACCTGTATTTAGCCAATTATATATACTTCCAAATAGCTTAAAGCTAATTTATCTATACTAAAACTGTTACTGTTATAGTTAAGCTGCAACAATTACCACTTTTCCGGATGCTTGACAGTGGAGATCTACAGTCACATTTTGATTTAAATCTTATGTATGGCCTTTATGTTTAGGTGCATGACTATCTCTATGCTCAGTCCTGTTAAAACAAAAAAGCCAGGTCCGCCCCGCCTTTTTCAATGGAAGGCTAACTCAGTGTGAACTAATGCGCAGCTGTCCAACTGAAGTATTCATTCACTAATGGGATAGTTTAACTTAAAAGAAAGAGGCAGAAGGTATTAGAAAAAGAGGTTTAGGTTACTTCTTCAATAAACACAATATTCTTATAGAAAGTTATCACACATAAAGGTGGACAAGAACACTTTTCTCTGAGTTTACAGTATAATCGCCATGATTCAGCATTACTGACTCATCATTACTTTGGGCTAGGTCCTGTGTAAATGCCTAGTATGTATTATTTCAACTACTTCTCACATTCCCGTAATGAGGATTAAATGAGAAATAAACTCTTCACACATAGCGTCTGGTACATATAAAAATAAATGTTGTCTTTAATTAGGTATTACTACCGCCTAATCTGACTTCATCAAGTCAACCCTTACTCTACCTCAGTCAGCTTTTCAAAAGACTCACCTACTTAAGTACGCCAATGCTAAGAAATCTCCAATAATTCCCATTACCTACTACTGAAGTCCCAACTCTTTCACGTGACATTTGAAAGCACGCATGACATAGATCCATCTTCTATCATATCCCATACACTGTTGTCTAGGCACACTGGAATGCTCACAATTTCTAGAACATGTTATATACTTTCATTTCCATAACTTAGAAATATTCTTGTCATTCTCTCAAAAGAATTTTATCCGTTCTTCAAGGCGCAGTAGAAATGTTACCTTCCCCACAAAGCTGATTCTTTCTGGTACTCTCCAGTACACAATTCCCACCTCTATTACAGTACTTTTTTTGGTATTATTTGTCTGTAAGATCACTGAAAGCAAGATTTATTCATTTCCACATACCTACTGTGCCTACTACAGTGTTTTATACAAAAATTGCATTAGGTAATGTAGAAAAAAATCTCATCATTACCAATAGCCCCAGTGATAACTAGTAAAACTTGAAATTCAAATGCACTTTCTCCCCTCCAATTCCCGTGACAGCAGTAATGATCCTACAGTAACTCTGGCAGCAGATCCCTTTCCAGTCCTAATTCAACACTCCATGAGATACAATCCTTTCAATACCAAACAAATCATGTGGGACATAACCAGTGACCCAATGCTGAATACACCGGTTGACATTAAATTCATTATACATTAACAATGGAGGAGAGAATTTTTAAAGCACAAGGATATTAGAATCATCTTTCAAAATCACAGTTGGGATATAAAATTCCTCTGTTCAATTCCTCTGACTTGAGCTTTAAAAACAAAAGATATGGAGGGTCGCCTGGGTGGCTCAGTTGGTTAAGTGTCCAGCTCTTGGTTTCGGCTAGGTCATGATCTCAAAGGTCACAGGACTGAGCCCCCGCTGGGGTCCGCGTGGTGGGGAGTCTGCTTGGAGAGTCTCTCCTTCGGCTCCCCACCTCAAATAAATCTTTAGAAAAAATAAAAGAAATAAAAACAAAAGATCTGTATGGCTATCTGCCCATTTAGTAAATAAAGTTACCTTTTATGAATTAATCCTGTTTCTAAATCTATACAAACGGGTAAAAGTAATAAAAGTCCTAAAAAGCTAATTGCCCTCTGCCCTCTAACCACCCATAAGTAGTTTTTACTCCATTAATATCTAAGGCAACAAGAAACCTCAGTTTTTGGTTGTGTTGTTATATTCCAGGACAATTCCAACTACTATGACTTTCTTACCTGATTTATTTTGAACAATCAAGTAAAAATATAGCAATATTATATACTTACATTTAAAATTCTTCAGGTTAAAAAGTACTATATAATACATTATCTGGTTCTATTCAGAAATCCTATGATTTCCAATTACTGAAGAATGTATTAACTCTATGTGAAGGTGTTTGTAGTATAGAATAGTTGCGAGAACTAGGATCACTTATTTAATTCCCTGTGCTCCTTATACTATATGTGAACCTCTTAAAGGAAGACAGTTTTGTTGTCGTTAGTGTTTACTTCTCAATGAAGACCAGAGTATCTTTTGTACATGTACAGGGCCTAACTCAATAGCATTTCCAATTTATTTTTAACTGTTTTTGTATTAGTTTGCTACTACTAGCAAACAAGTTAAATTAGAAATATTCAGGCAAAGGGTATGTTAAAGTCAAGAGTAGCTGCATGTTACCTAAATGTTAGGAATGTTACTAAACTTGAAAGCAAGAGGACCACAGATGTTGAAAGTAAAGTTTTGGTTATTATAAATGTCATAGTGAGGCAGTTACGCAGGCTAAGCTTAACTGGTGCCATGGACTTTAGCATACCTGGAAATAGAAAAATTCAAATTGTAGCTGTTCTTGATTGGCCCATTGCCATTTTTGTAGCTTACAAATTTTTAATTAAGTAACTGCAGTGAGCTCATCTCTACTGGATACTTCTTTTCCAGGGCAGGTCCAGGAACTGGAGCCTTGAAAGCAGAAGAGAAACTAGAGTAAACTAGAGGTAGGCAGAATAAGAAACGTGACCAGATAACATTATGAGATCTAAAAGCAGCGAGTTAGTCCCCAGTGTGTCTCACATAAAATACTGAGATGGAAAAAGGATCTCTTAAGTTCCAAGTTACCAAAAGATGCTATTTACATTAGTTAAGTCATTGTCTTACTTTATACCCAATTCTACTCTACAGACTCCCAGTTCCAGATACTCAAACAGTGGCCTATATGAAATCTATTAAGGCTTTTTGCAACAGACTGTTCAATATGGGACCACAGAGTATAGCAGAAAGAGAAAAACAACAAATCTACTTTCACCGGTAAAATTAAAATTATAAAGTCCTCATCTTCCAGTCATTTTGCTCTTCTCTCACTATCTCATTTCCAGTCATCTTCTAACTTCTCCCCTAATTTCCTACAATCAATTCTCAGAGGTTTCTTAAGAAATGCATCCAAGCAATGAACTGAATTTCAGGTTCCAATTAAAAAAAAAAAAAATACTTGGTAATCCTTAAAGTAGGAGGCAAAGAACAGCTCATAAGATGTGGTTCGTAACCACACTGGAAATTCTTTTTTCCATTACCAAAACAGACTGAATTTTTTTTTTTTTTTGGTATAAATTTGTTAGGTCCATAGGAAAAATAAAACCCTGTAACTACAAAGGTTATAGAAATGTAGGATATTAAAAATGGTAGACTGTTGTACAAGGGCCTGGAAACGATGTCTTTATGCTTGATGAATTGGCACCTGCAGGAGTTTCTCTAAGAAACAAATGTCATAGCAGTCAAAATAAACGGAATGCTCTGCAATTGTCAAATGATGGCAGACTGTGAGAACTGTAACAGGAAAAACAACAACAACAACAACAAACACACACACACACACACACACACACACACACACACACACACAGTGAAGAGGAAGATTCAAAGAACTCCTTGCATTTCTTGTGACCAGCAACACAGCAAAGTGAAACAGAATCAAAGCAGTTTTTAAGAAAATATAAATTTCCCATCCTTCGTGATGGTATTTGTTGGTGAAAAAATTCTGTAGAGACAAATCTGGTTTCAGGATGACCTCACACTAAAACTCTGAACAAGTTTTTTTCTATTAAGTGGGATACCACACCCTACCTCACTGGATTGTCAAGAGGATTAGCTGAAGTGTAGAAGAACCTGGCATACAGCGGGTATTCAATATATTTTTCTGTATTACTACAGAATGAAACAACATTTTTTTATTCTAAACATATGGGTATACTTAAGTTTTCATTTTTATATATGCTAAAGCAACAGCTATATGATAAGCTTTAGGTTTAAATGACTCAACCGCATCACATCGAAAGAGATATAACTGATTTATCAAACTGATTTCAGAACAGCTAGCTATAAAGGGAATGTGTGAGAGCTCAAGTTAGGAGCTAATGATGAATAAAAATAAAACAATTTACTTTTAGGATATAAACAAAATCAGTGGTAAAGAGGGAGACATGAATTCTTTTCCCTACAAATAAAGGAGAAAATACCTTCGTCCACACACTTTTGTTAAAAATTATAGATCTGAAAGATGCTATACTTTAAAAAACAAAACTATTTCCATGCATGATATAACTTGGTCTTTGAGTCAGGAAATGCTTTAAGGGCAAAGAAAAGCCTTACATTTGGGCAATAATTTTCCTCTCACTGATAGAACTGTGGGTTCCATACAAAATTATTATTTACCAAATACAGCTCAAAGATCAGATTACACCTTCCCTAGCATTACCAAGTAACACAGCAAGTATCAAAAGTAACAAGAATTTAAAAAAAGATTAAAAATAACTATTCACTGCTACAAATTTATTTCAAAACAGTGTTTAAAAGTTAACACAGAGGGGCACCTGAGTGGCCCAGGCGGTTAAGCATCTGCCTTCAGCTCAGGTCATAATCTCTGGGTCCTGGGATGGAGCCCCACATTGGGCTCCCTGCTCAGTGGGGGAAGTTTGCCTCTCTCTCTCTCTCTCCCTCTGTCCCTCCTCCCTGCTTGTTCTGTCTCTCTTTCAAATAAATAAAATCTTAAAAAAAAAAGTTAACATGGAAAGTGTCTCATTCAAAACACACTGCAATTTACTTAGAGATGGTAAGATTAAATTCAGTCTGTGCATTCCCTAAAAGGCAAAAAAAAAAAAATATTTAAGAATGAGGATTCCCACTTATTAAAAAGATCAAGAAAAATACTTTAAATGATTTTTAAAAATTTATAACTAGCTATCATAATGAAATCTCATTACTCACAGTAGTGTAAGTAGATTCTTTTTGTCTTTTCCAGACATACAATGTCATCTATAGATAAATTTGCCTCCTCCCTTTCAATAATTATTTTGTTTTTTAGTCTGATTACATTGGGCAGTATTCCAAAGACAATATTATAGAATAGTTAATGCTGGCCCGACTTTTCTTGATTCATGACTTTTAAAAAGGAATTTAGTATTTATTTCTAATAACAAAATGCAGACTTCCGGTCTGAGATATGCCAAATCTTATGTCTACTTATTTATTCCTGTTTCACGAAGGAATATTAGAAATAAATGTTGATCTCCCTTTTTTACCCTTCAAGATATTCATAACCCTCTCTCACCTACTAACATATGAATGAATTTATCATTTCTATATTCTACATTGCATTCTACTTCATTACAGTATTATTCTATTAACGTAATGGTAGTTTGCATTTGATAGTTATATTAAGCATTTTTTGCACCAACTTTTGTGAGATTGGTGTGTAATCTTTTACGCTCATATTTTATTATCATGTTACACTGGCTTTGTAAAAAGAACTGGGGAGTTTACCTTTTTTCCCTCTACGCTCTGAAATAGTTATCAAGGGCTTGAAGTTTTAAGAATTCAATAGTAAAACCTCCTAGGTCTGGTGCATTTTGCAGCAAATAGTCTCTAACTAGTAAGACCAGCATTTTCATCCATGGCTCCAGATGCTATCCCCCCCACATCTTGAGGAAACCAGCCACCTACCTTTCTTCTCAATCTCTCCCTTCAATCTTTGAACATATTTAAGTCTTAATCATCTTAAACATAATCCATGTATATACTCATACCACAAAGTATTTCCTTATCAGTTAAGTCTTCTCCAGCAGGTATTTATTCACAAAACTATTTATGAAAATAGCTACTTTATTCAAGGCACTAAGCAAAGAGAATGAGCTGTAGTTCCTGCCCTCTGCCTCCTCATCAAGTGAGAAACACAAACATAAAAAAAAAAAAACAAAACAAAACCAAAAACTGCCATAGCAATGTAAGGAATGGATATGCTATGCTAGGCCATCTGTCTCTTACCATTCATGCCGTGCCAAACTTCTCTATTGAGTAGTTATACTGTGGCTTCGATTTTGTTTTAACCGACCTCCAAATTTCCCCCCTTGATAAGAGTTTTATTCAGATCAAATACAATAACCTTTTCAGGATCCTCATCCATCATATTGCAATAACTAAACTTCTTAGAATATTTTGAGTTTTACTGGCTACTTTCTAATTCATCATATCATTTGATCTTCATGAAAAACCACTGAGAAGGCTTGGTAGTCATTACTCTCATTTTGCAAGGTTCAGAAAATTAAGTAATATATTAATTATCAAAAACTTCAATCCGTGGTGGATTGAGGGCCAGAAATGTATTTGTGGCTTTCTAACTCCTGGTTCAGAGTTCCCTCTGGGGGATGCCTCAGACCTTACTGGGGGTGTTACATAGTATACAATAAAAATACCATGTTTCCTTTCTAAAATTCAAAAAAATTTGAATTCCAAAACAGCTGGCCTTGGGTTACAGATAAAGTACTGTGAACCTGTACAGTATTATTCCAGGAATCCTAATTTAGGTACTCTATTCTTTTCCCTTACTTTCCCTTATGCCATTCCATGCATTTCAGCTCCCATGTTTACCACCAAGCCCTTTAAGTTCTTAATAGCTCTTAGAATCGCCAATTCTACTCCACCCCTACCGCTACCACACTACCCCAGTCATCCCACATCTCAATGACCAGACCCATAACTTACCTCCCTGCCACCAAAGTTTTCCTACTTGACCTATGAAGCACAGTACAGCAGATTAAAAATGCTCCTATATAATCACTTTAATAAATATTTCACTCCTTTGCAGAAGAACTTAATAAACTGGAACAGATACATGAAGAGTATAAGGATAATGAATGTGCAATGATAGACAAGTTTTTGTTACCTTGTAAACTTTATATCTGTGAAATAAAGAACTCCCTCTTTTTTAAACTTAATGAAATTAAAAATGTTTTCTAAGTTAACTTGCATTTATTCTGTAATTAAAACAAACAAAAAATTTATTAGACTCCTCCTCTACTTATCATTTCAACTAAAACTCTTTGGTATGGCTTTCAAGGCCTTTTCCCACTTGGTTTCACTAGATCTGGTGTCACTGACCCCTTCGGCAGTCTGAAGGCTACAGATATCCTCTCATAATATTTTAAAATGCATTAAATACAGTATGAAGGATTACAAAGAGTCAATTTTACTAAAAATATAATTAAAAATATGGTTTTAAATGCATAAATGATTACAAAGAATGCATAATGAATACAAATGCATAATGATTACAAAGAAAATAAAAAAAAAATACTGAAAGTTACCAAGTTTCTTTTAAACCTGTATTTGTGATATGTTAATATATATGCTTCTTTACTAATACTCAACAAAATAAAATCTAGCAGAAGTCTAATAACCATAATTTTGAAATAGTAATCTGCATAAATTATATTCAGAAATATCAATAATTATAAATATGGAAATATCTGTGCTTTACCATTAGTAATAAAGTCACAGCCACTGCTAATACTACTGTGCTTTACTGTTTAAAATCCTAATACAGATCTTTCTTGAGTTATGATGGGGTTCCACTCCCAACCACTGTAACCTGAAAACACTAA